GAGGCCGCAGGCGCCCAGTCCGGGCCCACTCCCTCCGTGGCCAGCCCTGCACGGGTTTCCGTTCCTCTGGTTTAGAGGCTCTCTCTGGACTTTTTTTTTTTTTTCCCGGTGAAAGACCTATTTCCCGGTTATTGCAGGTCTTCCTAGGGAAGGGAGCTTGCTCTGTGATCCTCGGCGACCGGGCTGCTCCGCCTAGCAGGCACTGTGGAGCCCAGCCATCCCAGGTCGGAGTGTGCCCGGTGTGGTACCCAGGCAGGGAGACACGGGCTGTCAAGTTGGTGATTGGTCATAACGCTTTCAGTGGCGTTGTCAGAGTAAACTATAAACAGTCCTCTGCAGTCTAGAAGTAACCTGAGTGAATGAAGTCTTCAGAGTCTGCTACCTGAAGGAAGAGCTGCTTGAAAAGCATCTTAGTCAATTGGTATATTATTGCAGGTGTAGGAGAGAATCACAATTTGCTTTAAGTTTAAAACCATAATCCAGTGTAACTTTTCAGGCAATTAATAATTTGAAATTAATTAAATAATTTTTTATGGGCTGGTCTTAAAGTGTTACAAAATTGACACTGAAGTTGTTGCCTTCCACAAAGAAGTGGAAACCGGTAGTTTCAGTTCTTCTGCATCATTATACACTTTTTAGTTCAAATCAGTGCAGAGTATGCGTGCAGTCTTAGATTTGTCTTCAGAAGTTTAGCATTAACTCTGTTCAAAAAGAGATCTCTCTGGTCATAGGAGAACTTGCAACTCTGCAGATACCCTGTTCTTTTGTATGTTTATTCTAAGACCGAGATTTTTCTGATCTAAGGATATGTCCTTTTGACTAGGAGGAGATTGTTGCATGAGACATTCTGTAAAGTAACTTGAATTGTTGCTTATGAACAGACTGTAGGATTTCTTACGCTGTATGGCCCAGAAGTAACCTGCGCTGCATGGCCCCTGACTTAAAACTATCTTGAGTATTGTGTTTCTTCTATATCAGGCTAGGGGAGAAGCTATTGTGAAATAAAGCTCAAGGGTATTGAAAAACTCATGCAAAACAATGGCAAGGGTTTTTTTTGTGCTGCCAGCCTGCTCAGTAAAACAGGAAAACTCTTTGGCTTTTGTTATTTCTTCTGTACTAGCTGAATCTCTGTATATTTAGAACAAGTAAGAATTTAATTTAAAAAAAAAACCCCATCAACAACAAACCTTTGTCCTTAACTAGGACTTTAAATATATAAAGTACATGTCCAAATTCAATTTTACTTGAACTTTTCCCAGTGTTCTTTGTATCTATGTATTCACTTTTTCTTTTAACTAATTTCCATACAGTAAAATTTCTTGAAGTAATCAAGCCCTTCTGTGTTATCTTGCCTGAAATCCAAAAGCCAGAACGGAAGGTAAGTTAAGAAAATTTTCTTTATAGGTTTGTATTTGTGTAATATAAAATGTTTACAGCTTAGTTTGCGTTTGTGGGATTTGGGTTTATTTTCCTGTTGGGAGAATGAGAGTTTTAGGCACAACTGGTTTTAGTGGAGTGCTTGTCTACTAAATCCTGTACTGTGGATATGGTAGTACAAGAATATTTTTGCTGGTAAATGCAATTGTGCAGATACGGTTATGCCATAGCAGCAAGTGGTGAGATGTTGAAAGCAGTACATACTGGAGTGTAAACTAGAGTAGTTTAAAATAGCGCCTTGAAAGTCTTCGCTTCTTAAGTTCTAATCTAGGATAAGCTTCTCTGTATTATTATTATTATTTTTTTCTCACCAGAAGCTCTTATGAACATGTAAGCCTCATTTCTGTGGAAGCACTAGAATTACCTTCCATTGGCGTAAGCTTGTTTATTTGGATTAAAGTGTCAATAAAGCTTTGTCATTTTCCTTGGCCTTATATAGTATAAAAGGGGTGAACAGTGAGTTATTTTCTATAGGATGTCCTGTACTTTGTCCCTTCACAAGAAAATCAAGTGTGCTTTAGTTACTATGAAAATTTGCCTGATTGACTAGGTCTTGTTACCTTGACAGCTTTATCATCTTTGGTTGTTGTTTTTTTTGTTTTGTGTTTTTTCTTTAGATTCAGTTTAAGGAAAAGGTACTATGGACAGCTATCACACTCTTCATCTTCTTAGTATGCTGCCAGGTATGTTTCTTTCCCTTGTTTTTAAGGAAGGGCTGAAATGTTTAAAGCATGTTATGAAGTCTCTAATTTAATCTTGTTTTCCTCTGTTGGTTGGAAATGCAGATTCCCTTGTTTGGTATCATGTCATCAGACTCGGCAGATCCTTTCTACTGGATGAGAGTGATTTTGGCATCAAATAGAGGTATGGTCAGTCTTTCAAGAGGGGACTTTTTTTTTTAGCTTGAATCAAAATGTTTTTGGCCTTGTTCTTACATTGTGCTCTATTTTAACGAAGATAAAAACTGAAGTAGAGAGGGAAAAGTAATTTTATGATTATGTAAAATCATAAACCAATGTGGCATTGGGAAAGACACAACTTTGTGGACAAAATTGTTGGCTGTGTGCAATATATTATATGTACAAAAATCAAGGAGCATTTTGAAGGGAAAAGGATTAGGGAAGAGACCGTTCCTAATTACCTGCATCACTGCTGTTGCCATCTTCTGTATATATTTCAAGCTTTTTGATTTGTGTTTCAAACCATGTTATACATGTGTTGTGGTTTTCTGGGTGACATCTTTGAGCCTGTCTCACAGACGATTCATGATAGTTTGTATAAATTTCAATTTCTTGTAGAGGCTTTCTAATGCAAGTATGAATTCAGAATGCTGACAATTTCCTGAATTCACTTTGTCGTTATATGTCATTTGGGCTATCTGTCAGTTTATATCATAATGGGATGTGCATATATACATGCATGCAACTTGGTCCCCTCCTGAAAAAAGTTTGGGTTTTCCTGTTTAAAATTACGAATAATAAATTGACTGTTTATCAAAGGCAGAAAGAAAATTCCTACCTTGTTTTATGCAGAGTTAATCTGTTCCTGACAGCAAAAGTCTTTTTTCAGCAAACATAGTTTTCAAGGTACTGAGGAGTACTGTGTTACTTATCAGACTGACTTTTAACAAGCTTCTGTTATCATTGAAACATTCTACATTTATGGAGATTTTGAATTTTATATCTTCTCCATTGTGATGTAAAGGGTGGAAAAAACAAAATTTGAACTTCAAAGGTGCCTGGGTACGGAACATCTCATTATTTCCTTTCATTGTTTTTCTTGTGTCTGGCAGGTACATTGATGGAGCTGGGCATTTCACCTATTGTCACTTCCGGGCTCATTATGCAGCTCTTGGCAGGTGCTAAGATAATTGAAGTTGGTGACACCCCAAAGGACAGAGCTCTTTTCAATGGAGCACAGAAATGTGAGTAACAGCAGATATTAAAGGCTGATGTTTTAGAATATCTAACCTTATCAATAGAAAGTGTAAACTTGCCATGTGATGAATGTTGGAGTCAGATATATGGGTTTCTGTCATGCTGTGTGTTCATGTTATGCCACAGATTTCTGTATTTCATCAGTCTTTTACTGACTGCTCTCTGGCTTGTCAGCTGTTAGGCTTCAGAAAAGTTTGAAAAGGAAAAGTATCTGTGGAATTGCATTGCTGCTGTAATCTTGCCAGATAAACTGAGCAATGTATAGACTGTGGGGACCCAACCTTTGAACTGTGTTGGTCAGCATTAACATAAAGAAGTTAATACTCATTAAGATGTTTGTTGTAGTTGTTTTTACCTTGCAATTTCAGGCATGGTTCCTTCTTAGCAATAAGAGATCTCTGTGCTCAGTTGATAAATGACTTGTAGGAAAATAGGAGTATTCTTGTGGTGGGTTGACCCTGGCTGGAGGCCAGGTGCCCACCAAAGCCGTTCTATCACTCCCCTTCCTCAGCTGGACAGGGGAGAGAAAAAATAACAAAAGGCTCATGGGTTGAGATAAGGACAGGGAGAGATTGTACACCAATTACCGTCACGGGCAAAACAGACTATACTTAGTAAAAACTCATCTAATTTCTTCCCAAGAAAACAGAGTAGAGCTATGAGAAGTAAAACCAAATCTTAAAACACTACCCCCACCCCTCCCTTCTTCCCAGGCTCGACTTTACTCCTGAATTCTCTACCTCCTCCCCCCCAGCAGCACAGAGGGGACAGGGAATGGGGGTTGCGGTCAGTTCATCACACGTTGTCTCTGCTGCTCCTTCCCCCTCAGGGGAAGGCACACTCACACTCTCT